GGTCAATTTAAATTTGTGCCAAGTCTTCAACATTAGTACTCTTACTTGCCTACGACATTCTTTCTGGTTTCAGGCTTGGAAACTAAAACTATTTAAATAGAAAACAAAATTTCAATTTGCGTAAATATAATCCTATATGTTTTATTAAAAAAAACATAATGTGCTAAACAAATGAATTAGTCAATTTTGGCAATTGTGATCAGTGACCTTACAAAGAGCTGACTTACATTATATATTTCTCAACGCATCTAATTTCGCATTGATATGAGAATTTTTTTTTTTTTCAACTTTGTTGAAAATTTACCTGCAAACGAAAATATAGAATGTGTATTGTTTCTTCAAAACATAAATAGGAAAATTCACAAGGGAAAAAAGAAAAACAACAAAGCTTTCCATGAAATCACATAGTCGCAAATTATCTGGCTCCAGGGGCAAACTCAGAAGCAGAATTGTGACTCAAGTCAATAGAACCTCTTGAGTACATTTCTTCACTACCTTGTCTCCTTGCATTATCCAAGGCTGCACACTCGTTTAGATCAATCACAACGTGTGCCATCGTTGGTCTTCTGTTTGAAGACGGGTTCACACAAGCCAGAGCCAGCTCTACGATCTTCCATGCACTGTTTGTGTCATAATCCCCCATCAGTTTCGGGTCAACGATGTTCTTGATGTCTCCTTTGGTAAGCATGAATCCAACCCATTCATTAATGTGAGTTCTCTCTCGGGTTTTATCTATCACAGGCTGGTTTGTGACTATCTCTAATAGCACTACACCAAAGCTGTACACGTCACTCTTCTCGCTTAGCCAGTTTGTTCTGTAGTACCTGAAAGAGTATAACATTCTTCATTACTCATTTGAGCAACAAACAAACACAAGTGATGAAAAATTATTGATTCACTCACTCAGGGTCTAAGTAACCAGGTGTGCCCGCAACCACTGTTGAGACATGGCATTCGCCATCGATAGGGAAAGATCTAGAGAGACCAAAGTCGGCTAGTTTCGCTTGAGACCGCTCATTCAATAAGATGTTGGTAGTTTTCACATCTCTATGAACCATAGGAGGCCTACATCCATTGTGTAGATACTCCAATCCTGTTACATATGGTTATTGTTCATGTCGATTTCGCTTTCATTTATAAACATAATATTTAGGGACAAAAACATTATAGTTTTGTTTCACCTTGTGCTGCCTCTACAGCTATTTGCATTCTGTTTTCCCATGTTAAGACATTGCCTCCGCGTTTGCCTATACCGGATTTGAATGTTTAATACTATGGAAGGAGATGGATTAGTTCAATTAAAGTAGAGTCGCTTAGTCGAAAGTCTTTACCTGACATGTTCTCTTTCAAGTCTCCATTTGCCATGTATTCATAAATCAAAGCCAAGTTATCTCCATCATCACAATAACCCACAAGTCCAACCAAATGCCTATGGTGGACTCTTAAAAGAAGCTCAACCTGAAAAAAAAAATATCAAAATTATCATTTCGTGATTTGAGAAATTTAAAACTCTACTACTAAACAAAGGCTAATGGATATGCATCTTGTTACAGTACCTCTGCTTTGAATTCTTTATAGCCTTGAGCTGATGAATGAGAGAGCATTTTCACAGCTACTTGAGCATCATCCAAGTTACCATGATACACTGTTCCAAAGCCTCCTTTGCCAAGAACTCTCTCGAAGTTATTAGTCATCTTCAGTACCTCGGGGTACGTGATCCTGCGGTCCTTTGAAATGATTGATGGATTGGAAGATCTGTTCTCACTTTTAACTATACCATGAGTGACTGATGGGGCTCCTGGAGCTTAAAATCATACCAAAATAAGTGAAATGAATAAGATCAAATTCAAACAATATAATCCTCGGTTTTGTGATTCATACATACCCGCACTACTTTTCTGTTTTTTCTTTCTAAGAACTAAAAAGATGGCCAAGATAACTAGAAGAGCGAACACGCCAGCCACTGACGCTCCGATAGCAACCATTGGAACCTTCGTTTTCTCTTTTTCGAGAGTAGGATTCTGGCCATCCAAACTATAATCATTAAAAGTCATGGAAGCCAAAACAAAAAGAAATGATTAGAAGTTTATAGTGTAACACTACATATAAGCATTGTTGAAAGGAGTCTGATATAAGTTCCAAAATGAAATCAAATAAAGTAAGAATATCTTACATTAGTGTTAAAGATTTGTTCTTTAACCTCTGTTGAAGAGAGTCTGGAATTGCGCTATTGAGATTTGGATTTCCACTTAAGTTTCTGCAAATACAAAAAAACTCAATCTTGCAGAAGAGAACAACACGACAACAAAAAAAAAGAGAGAGGAAGTGTTGATAAAAGAAGCTCACATGAGTTTCAACAACTTCATATCAGCAAAAAACGATGGAATCTCTCCTGATAAATCATTCTTCGATAAATCTCTGTCCATTAAAATAGAGAAAGAAAAAGTTTTGTTCAGAGTTAGATACTTCTCTCACTGCGATAAATCTTATCCAATACTTATAGTTTATTGGTGTGACAATTCAGACACTTACAACTTTGTCAGCTGTGTTAGCTTGGATATTTCTGGAGTTATGGTACCTGTCAACTTGTTCTCTGTCAAGTTCCTAATGTTGTCAAACAGTAAAGTATCCAGAAGAATTAGTAGAACTTTTGAAAAATCGGAAATCGAAAGAACCTTGAGATGAACAAAGAAAAAACATACAAGGATATGATCCGCGGTGCCTCGGAGTCTGAATAACTGCAGTTTAAACCTTCCCACCGATAAACCTGAGGAGCACATGGATCTCCTTGCCAGCTCAATTTTTTCTTCAATTCATAAATTGTCTTGATGTTAAACATAGCAGAAACTGGCCATTGGTCAATCAACACATTATTAAAACCAAACCATATGTAATAAATAGTCAAAACACAAGGAAAGAAAAAATATTGCAAACAAAATGGGCTTAAGAAAATGCTTAAATTACCTTCATTTTGGTCTGTGTCAAGCTGTCGAATGTTTAAGACTTTATATAACTCGAAGCCGTTGATTAGAGGAGGGAGAGTAGAGTTACCGGTCATTACAAAAGTGAAATTGAAATTCCCATCCGGAGAACTTATTGCTCTTGGATTATATACAGTTGTTATCCTAAGTTTCTTAGGCCTAAAGTAAGGATACCAAATTTTTCCATCATTGTAAGTGATGTTGAATTCTCTGATCTCATCATCCTTGAGCTCTTGGATTTCAGCGAAATGCATGTATATATATGCCTCTGCAGTGATGTCACCAAGACTCCAATTTAAGGTCAGAGGCTGACTAGCATTTGCAGGTACAGAGGCAGTCATTGCCACAGGTTGTGGTACATCATAGGTGTTACTTGTATTGACCGAAAGGTCTGTGCTTATCGACTTTGTTTGGTTGTCTACGTATGGAAACCATGATCTATCATGAATGTCCTTATCATATCTATAAAAAGGAAAAGAAAAGGTCTTCTTGTTAACTCAACACAAAGAACAAAACAACAAATACAAACCCATAGCAAGTAACGTATTATACCATTTTTTACACCAAAATGGTGTTGAGTTTACTCCAATGTATAATACCATTTTTTACACTAAAAAAGAATATTCTGAATATATTCTTTCTAAAATTTAAAAATTAACACATCTATTTTTTCAAGTTTAATAAATTATAATATAATTGAAATTTAACATTTATCATAAAAATGCAAAATACATAACATCATATATTAGATTTTGGTTTAACCATCATCATAATTGAAGGATTTTTTTATAAATAAAAAAGTTCAACACCAAATATGATGTAATCTCATTTCTTAGATCATTTTTGGTGTAAAAACGATATAATACCATTTTGGTATTGGGTTGGAGAGGATTTTACATAAAAATGGAATTTGGCTTAGGATTGGAGATGCTCTAAGGGAAAGCAGCAAGTTCTTATAATAATCCAAAAAAATAAAATTTAAAAATTTCAAACCCATAATAATCTCTCCTTATTTTTAGCACTAAAACTCTACCTTCTCGATCACATGGTTGAACAAGTAAAACCACTGGCTCACAACCGACTAAAGATTATTATGGTCCCTAGTCAAAAACTTTTATGAAGACTTCTAAGATGTAAAATATGTAAACATATATACAAATATAAAACCTTCCTAGTTCATTCTTTACCTGATGAATAATGGAGTGGGTGAAAAGAAAACTCTTTTGACTCTAATCAACGATCCACTTTGTGTGACGTAAGTTTTATTGTGCAGCGGTCGAAGTTCCAAGGAGGAAATAAACGGTGTCGTTTCTCCTGTCTTAACAAGACAAACTTGAAGACGGTCTTGTATTACGACATGGATCAACTCGATAGACGATGAATTTGTGACTCCAAGGATTGAAATAGAAGTCCATTTGTTAGGACCAATGTGAAGATCAAAGCTTGGAAGTTGATTTAGACCGTCGTAATTTCCATACAGAAAGGATCCTTTGATCAGATATCTGGTGTTCGTGGTAAGGTTGACGAAGTTGTAACAGTTTCTTTCACCCTCGGGGAAACTTCTTAAGGTCCAAACCTGTTGTTGATACAATGTTTTATACGCATCATTGATCCTCCCGACCAATCCACTATCGATGTAATTTGCATCTGATTTGTATATTATATTTGTTGTCTTCTCTGTATAAGTTGTGTTCTTAGGGACCAACCCACAAGCCAAACTGATGAATTCTGTTAATGATCAACACCAGAAATACATACACATTGTTAATCTAATATGATATAAATACGGCACATTGCAAAGACTATAACATGATATATAATGAAATACAAAAGGTAATAGAACCATGTTAAAATCTCCTAGTCATTGAATAGACGGTATTTTAGTTTCATAGAGATTCCAAAAGAGAAAATAAAAGAAAATAAGAACCTGATTGATCTTGAGCTTGAACTGATTTAAAAATGCCATAAGCTGTGATCAAGAAAAGCAAAAACCCATGAATGTACTTCATTTTTTATGTTTTTTTCTTTTGGGGTGTGTGCTATGATTCAGAGGAAGCTAGGATTCATTGTTCATTGTTCTTAATTGGCAAAGATTGAGATTACATTATATTGTAAATTGATTTGGCTCTGATCATTAGGTTGTTAGCTTAGTGCTAAGTCTTCAACATTAAATTATATGCAAGTGATTATTACCGTACTATTTACGTGCCTAGGACATTCTTTCTTGTTTCCATTTATCATATATAATTGACGAAGACGTAAAAAATAGAGGAAATTTGGAAAAAAATACCTCTTTTGGCTTTTCAAAATTTGAAAAATACCTCTCTTTTTAGTAGTTTTAAAAAATACACTTTATTAAATTTAAACTTATTAAAATATCCCCATAAAATCTGAACAAAATATTATATATTTTAAATAAGATTTAATTTGTTGTGATATATATAGCCTAAAGTTTAGTTGATCATATCTTTTACAAGATTTATCTTATATTTGATATGAGATTATAAAAAATTTTATATAAAATTATCTAAAATTATAATTATACAAAGAAATATTCACTATTAATATGCCATAAAATATTTTTTAAACGACCCACATAGAATTTTTACATAAAATAAAATAAGCCTAAAAAGATATTTAATGAAATGTCTTATAAAAATTATAATTTTTTTTATTTTGCTTCCAAAACTTGATACTCCTATTTATATAATAAATGTAGAGTGTTATTTTAAATAGTTTTTAATGTAATAAATGTTAAAATAAACATCTTATATAACAAGAGAATGTTTTTTATATCTAGTAGAAAATTTTAAATTTTAAAACAACAAAAAAAATTTTTCAAATAAAAATGGTAATATTAATATTAATAATATTTACGAATTAATTAATTTTTAAATCAATAACACAAGTTTATCTCAAATAAAAAGAAAAATAATATTAACAATAATTCTATTTACGAATTAATTTTTTTTTTAAATAACACAAATTTATCTCAATTAAAAATAGAATTAATAATAATGATTATTATATTTATAAATTAATTAGTTGTTAAATCAAATAAGGACAAAAGAGACTTTTAAATTATTGAAAGAGGTATTTTTCAAAAACAAGGTATATTTTTCAAATTCTCAAACATAATTGGTGTATTTTTCAAAATATCCCTAAAAAATAATGTGAAATCAAGTTTTAAAAATATTCTTTTTTTTTTTTTGGTCAACAGTTCTAAAAAGATTCTAATGGAAAGAAACAAAGGGAGAATGAGTACTTGCAATTATAGAGATTAATTACTCTGTCAAAATAATTCTCAAGTTGCCTTTCCACAAAAACTATTAAAATGGGAGTGAATGAAATAAATTATTTGAAAATGAACTAATTTTTTTGTCATTATGTAATTCATTGTATTAATCACCAGAAAGTGAACTATTTAAAACGAGAGAATTTACCAAATGACAATAATTTTAAGAGAAAGTAGGTAAATGATAAATATTTGACAGACTTGGTAGTTGATACTACTATCCTTCACTTAACCATTCCAGTAAACGTGATATTTTCTTATTCATGAACATGTTAATATCTTATGTAGACGTCTAATTTATTACATAATGCTCTAAAAACTTATATCTTAAACCCAAAATCCTAAAATTCATTTAATAAATTTGGCACCACATAAAAACATGACAAAAAATAGCATTATACAAAAATAAAATCACATTTCCCGTTACAATTAAAAAATGACGAGCATAATCGTCCAAACAAATATTTGCGTTATATCAATGTCATACGTAATTTGTCTCCAAAATTTTGTTATCCCAACCTACTTACTCTTTAAAGAACTGCTTTTCTTTTTTTAAGAAGAAGTCTCAATTTTACACAG